TCAATTCTATTTTTATTTTTAAATAATTAAAATTTTTAATGCTCATTACATTACTGAAAAACAAATTAAATATAATTCAAATACTTTCTTCAAAACAAAAATTTTACACTCACATTTCTCCTACCAGATCTGATTTAGTTCATTAAATCTCCAGATAGATTCCAGAAACATCTCATTCACTTCTGATTAAACATCAGCCACATACTAAACCTCTTAACCCACAAAAGAACCTAATTTACTATGGCATAGCTGTCCAATTCTCTCATTTGCCCATTGATAGATTACTATAGGCCAACTAGGAGCATGACCATCCTTGTACTTAAGTCTTGGAAATCTTGTATCATATTTGGACATTTATTATAATTCAGTGCTATCACCAAGTCGTCAACTATGGCCTTTCATTGTCAAAATGTCAGCATACTGCACAAGAGAAATTTAAGTAAAGGTGCTTTTCTCAATAGAATAATGAGAATTTGTTTATAGTGAAATTTGGTGGATAGAGGAATAAGAAAGTAAAAATATCTACATTATATTTGATAGGATCTAACCAAAGGACTTGAGCTCTGGTGTGGTGATGTAGGATCAGCACTGAACTGCTAGCCATACAGTAGGCAGTTCAAACCCACCAGCTGCTCTAAGAAACCCTGTATAGGATTGTTATGAATCAGAATTGACTTGATGGCACACAGCAAAAAAACAACAGTCAAAGGACTAAGAATCACTGATGTTATACATTCTTTACATGCCCAAACGGTGAGGATCAAAACAAATATAGCTATATCCAGAAAGTTGTTATTGTTAGGTACTGTTGAGTCTGACCTGACTCATAGTGACCTCACGCACAACAAAACAAAACACAATACTACCTTATGCTGTGTCATCCTCACAATTATTATGCTTAAAGCCCATTGTTGATGCCATTGTGTCAATCTAGCTCATTGAGAGCCTTCCTCTTTTTCACTGACCCTCTACTCTATTAAGAGTGATGTTTTTCTCTGGGGACTGGTCACTTCTGACAACATGTCCAAATTATGAGAGACAAAATCATGCCTTCCTCACTTTTAAGGAGCATTCTGGCTGTACTTCTTCCAAGACAGATTTGTTTGTTCTGGCAGTCCATGGCACTTTCAATATTCTTCTCCAACTCCATAATTCAACTACATCAATTCTCCTATAGTCTTCCTTATTTACTGTCTAACTTTCACATGTATATGAGGTGACTGAAATAAACATGGCTTGGGTCAGGTGCACCTTAGTTCTCAAACTGACATCTTTGTTCTTTAATACTTTAAAGAGTCTTTTTGCAGCAGTTTGCCTAATAGACTACATCGTTTGATTTCTTCATTGCTGCTTCCATGAGCACTGATTGTGAATCTAAACAAAATGAAGTCTTTGACAACTTCAAACATTTGTTTATCATGATACTATTTATTGGTCCAGTTGTGAGGATATTAGTTGAGGAGCAATCCATATTGAAGGCTATAGTCTTTAAGTATTTCCAGTCTTTGCTTCCAACAAACAAGACTGTGCCATCTGCACATCTCAGGTTGTTAATGAGTCTTTCTCCAATCCTGATGCCACACTTTCCTTCATATAATCCAGGTTCTTAGATTATTTGTTCAGCAAACAGATTGCCCAAATATGGTGAAAGGATACAACCCTGACATACAACTTTCCTGATTTTAAACCACTCATTATCCCCTTGCTCTGTTTAAACAATTGCCTCTTCGTCTATATATATACATACATATATAGGTTCCTCATGAGCTCAATTAAGTGTTCTGAGAATACCCTTTCTTTCCTGTTATTCATACAGTTGAATACCTTTGCATAGTCAACAAAGCACAAATAAACATCTTTTGGGCATTCTCTGCTTTCAGCCAAAATCTATCTGATGTCACCAATGATATCCCTAGTTCCACATCCTCTTCTGAGTCTGGCTTGAATATCTGGCAGCTCTCTGTCAAAGTACTGTTTCAACTATTTTGTTTTTTTAAAACTTTTTATTGTGAATTGAGTGAAAGTTTATAGACAAGATCAGCAGTTTTACATGCAACAAATAATACACTTTGTTTTATCTCAATGATTGCAATCCCCTCCATGGAACAACAGTTATCCCGCTTCCTCCCCATGGCTCCTATTTCCATTCCAGCCATCTTTCCATTCCTTCTCACCTTTGTCCTTTGTTGTTGCTGTTAGGTGCCATCGAGACTCATAGCAACCCTATACACAACAGAATGAAACACTGCTCGATCCTGGGCCAACCTCACTACCTTTGTCCTTAGGTGACTGTTATTTGATTTTTGAATGACTGACTGTTCCATCATTCATAGTGAACATACCTTATTAGTGTTGCTGTTCCCCCTATATACCTATGACTGAAAGTTGGACCACAAGGGTGAGTTCTTTCCAGACCAGAAGGGCAGTTACAGGCCATAGTCTTAGGCCTTGGCCACTTTCTTTATGACCAATAGGCTTGGCCTCACTCTTTAAAAAAAAAAAAAAAAATGAGTTTTGTTCTACACATTCTACTACTCTATCCGGACTTTCTAATGCAATCTCGTTCAGAACAGTTGGTAGTAGTAGTTGTGCACCCTCTAGTTCTTCTGGTTTCAGAGTCATGGAGACTGGTGTTCACATGTTTCATCAGTTCATTGGACTAATTGATTTCAAGCATCTTCAATTTCCAACACTCTTCTTTCTTCTGCATCTGGAGAGATCAATAGATGGCTGTTCATGAGCTTTTAGTATCCCAGACGTTACTCGCCAAAGTAGGAAGTAGAATATTGTTTTTGTAGATTATGTTATGCCAATTGACCATGGTGTCCCCTGACATTAAGGTCCTGAGCCCCGAGGCTTAGCTACTCATTGCTTTAAGATGTTTGATGATATCTAAGAAATTTTCATCATTTTGCCCACTGTATGCTCCACCACATTCACATTTGTGTTTGCAGGAAAGGTAAATATTCATGTACAACATTCTCTTTCAAACCTTGTATATCTGTGGGATATATATATATATATATATATATATATATATATATACACACACACACACACACACACACACACATTTAAGGAGCTCTGGTAGCACAGCAGTTATGAATCAGGCTGAACCTCAAGGTCGGCAGTTTAAAACTACCAGCTGTTCCACGGGAGAAAGATGAGGTTTTCTGCTCCTGTAAAGATTTACAGCCTCGGAAACCCTGCACAGGGTCACTATGAGTCCGAATCGACTCCATGGCACATAACTACCACCACCACCATACATACATTTATAATATATATATATATATACACACATATATACGAACATATATGGAGTCCTGGTGGGGTACTGTGGTTTAATACACTAGACTGCAAAGTTGGTTTGAACCGCAAGGTCAGCAGTTCAAGCTCACCAGACGCTCCTTTGAAACCATATACAGTGTCGCGATGGGTTGGAACTGACTTGATGACACTTAACAACAACATAAGATATATATATTTATCTATACAGCTACCAGGAGCTCTGGTAGCATAGTGGTTACGAATTGGGCTGCGAATCGCAAGGTCAGCAGTCCGAAACTTCCAGCTGCTCCACGGGAGAAAGATGAGGCTTTCTGCTCCTGTAAAGACTTACAGCCTCGGAAATCCTGTTCAGGGTCGCTATGGGTCAGAATCGACTCGATGGCACTTAACAAAAACAACAACCAAGTGTCAATGCTCTAGCTAGTAAATTATTCTCCCCAGAATAATCCTACTATCTAAAGGCCTATTGACCTTACATTCTATCTTTGCCCTAATAAATTGCCAAATTTCATAAAACTGGTACACTTCCAACAAACGAAACCCAGGTTTCCAGCTTTCAATATGCATTAGCAGATTAATTCTTCAAGCCTTTCTAAATGACTTTTTTTATCCAATTACTTCCATTCTTTGTCATTCAGTTTTATTTGTGCCATAAACATGTGGCTGAGTATTTATAACTCAGAAATTGTTTTGAAAATGTTGAGCCAAAGGAGGGGGTTGTTATAAGTGCCATCAAGATGGTTCTGACACACAGTGACCCTGTATAGGGTTTTTAAGGAGCAGTTTGAACTGTTGACCTTGTGGTTAGCAGCACAGTAAGCATCCTATAGTGCCACACCAAAAGTCCATAAGAAAGTACATGTTGTTAAGTGCCATCAAGTCGGTTCTGACTCATAGCGACCCTGTGTAGGGTTTGCGATGAGTTTGAACTGCCTGCCGACCACGTGGTTCACAACAACCTTGCGGTCCAGTGCTTATCCTACAGCCAAGCACCAAGGACTGGTCCTGTCAACATTCATTTTAGAAATTATGTGGATGGTCCTCACAGAGTTTTATACTAGCCTTTCCCCTACTTGCTCTCGATGCTTCCTTTTCACACAACCTCCAAACGAGAGAGTCCCCACCCAAAGCAACAGATTCCCCACCCAGTCGAAGGGCTGCAAGACGCCCCGCCCAGCGGCAGGCTAGGCCGGTCTCCTAGACTCGTCTAACAGGTTAGGAAGACTGAAGCAAACTGGCTTAAAAGAAGACCGGAACTTCGGTTGCTGAGGACAGACTTTTCAGAGCGCGGATACACAGGTTAGTCTTTTCTCAAGTCCACCGCAGTAGCTGTCTCAAACCACCTTCGCTAGTACCTTTATGGGGTAGGTGTTCGTCCCACCGGGGCCCCCCAAGATCAGAACTGCGCAAGCGCTAGCTCAGTCCCAGCACGGCGCGCACTCTCTCGCGCTCCCGCTATCCTCGGAGCGAGTGTCTGGGACGAAGGAAGCGCGATGCTTCCTGGGTGTTGTAGTGTGCTTCCTTCGAGAGAACCCATAAAGAACGAGAGTCGGGAGTCCAAGAACTACTCTTCCCGTCGTTCCCTGCGTGAGGGCCCGGGCGTTTGCCCTTGACGGCCTTAGCAGTCAGTCCACCAGCGACCAGGACCCGGGAAGCAGGAGGAGGGAGTGCGCCTGCGCTTAGACGCGGCTCGTCCTGTTCCGTCCCAGTCATTGTAAACAGGCGGAGGCTGGGCGGGGTGGGAATGGGGCTTCTGAGACCGGCCGGGGGTGCCGCGCAGGAGGCGGCTACGGTGGCTGCGACGGCTGCGTGAGCGCAAAGAGGCGGTGGCTGCGGCTGAAGCGGGCGGTCGCGCGGCAGCTGGCACAGGTCAGTCGCGTGGAGCGGTCGCGTGCCGAGTTGCTGTGATGCCCCTCGCACGCCGGAGGATCCCACGCCGGCACCGGCCTCTCTTCGAGTCTGTCTGCCTGCGTGCTGTGCTCGCCTCTCGCCGCACTCCGTTTTGGAGTTGGGGGCTGGGGGGCGTGGCTGCCCGTAGAGTTGGGTTATCCAGGACAAGGTTTCTTCTCTTTTCTCCCTCGCTTGCTATGGTCCCTTCCACTTGCGGAGCAGGCCTCCGTTGATAGCATCTGAATTCGTGATTTGGTTCTCTGAAGGACTGGAGGAGGAGAGTTAGAAACCGGACCCCCCTGATTCTCCAGGCCCCAGGAGAACTCTTTTCAGCACATCTGAACCGAGGAAAGAGAGCTCTTCTCTATCATTACTAATTTTATAATCTTACCCTACATACTGGCTTATTTCCAGTACTTTCTTAGGGAACTAGGAAAAGGTTCTTGATGTTTCCCAGCGCTGGCATTGACACACTGGGGGACTGTTGGGTACTTTGGTCCTAAGTTCAGATTTTAGTGGGAAAGTATTGACATATCTAGAATTACGAATGTCTTTCACAAGTATTTTTCAAGTATGCTTGTTCCAAAATGCTCGTACTTGAGGTGAGCTTTCTTTTTAATTTTGTAGTCTTGAGAATGAAACAGGTTTTACAAAATATTCCACACCTCAGCCAAACTGTTTCTAGTTTAGGAATTCATTACTACAAAGTCTCCCTCCCTATTGAGCAAGTACATGTTTCCTCTAAGGCCTAGTGGGTGGTAAGGTTATGTCCCATCCAATGGGTTCTTGACTCTTGGCGAACCTGAATAGGGTTTCCGAGGCAGTACATCTTTGCGGGAGCAGAAAGCCTCATCCTTCTTGGGCGAGCGGCTGGTAGATTCGAACTGGTGACTTCGGTTAGCAGCCCAACTAATAGCCAGCTATGCTACCAGCTTTCCATAAGCCCTAGTAGAATTTGAAATAATGACAAATATTTTTAATTCGAGGAATTTTGAATGTGTATATAAAAGTACTGGTATGAATTTTGAGTTGGCACACTGATAATAAAAGCTTTCTCTGAACTTTTTAGTGTAGTTGTTAAGTGCTATTAAGTTAGTGCAGAACTATAGCAACCCTGTATAGGGTTTCCGAAGAGCAGCTGGTGAGTTTGAACCGTCGACCTTGCAGTTCAAACTGACTTTGTGGTTCAGTGCTTATCCTACAGTGCTACACCACGACTCCTTGGTGGAATAGGCATGTTCTAATGCTGCAGTAGTTAGGTAGGTGTTATGCCTCAAGGTTGTTCCGACTCCTAACAATCCTGTATAATATTTCCAAGTAGCAGCTTGCAGTTAGCAGTTTAGTGCTTACTTACCTTAACAGCGCCACACCAGGACTCCAGTAGCTTTCCATTATACTTGAGCAAATGTTCACAAAATATTTGAGTGAAGATAAGGAAAAGGTCCAAGTCCCTGGCTGGTGCGAATGATTAAGCACTCAACTACTAACTGGAAAGTTGGCACTTCAGACATATCCAGAAGTGCCTGTGAAGACAGGCCTGGCAATCTGCTTTTGATGAAAGGTCACAGTTTTGGAAACCCTACAGAGCACAGTTCTATTCTACACCGAATGTCCTCAATGGAATGACAACTAACAGCTAAGAATAGGCCCATTTTTGGTTTCATTCTCACTGTGGCAAACCAAAAACCATTACCATCAAGTCAATTCCAACTCATAGATCATCCTAGCAGCACAGCTAAATGAAAGGGATTGTGAATGAGAAAGGTAACCTCACATTTTGCCTTTAGAATTATCTTGATGAGTTGATAATTCATTTGTGAATATCTTCGTTAAAATGAGTAATTCATGTAAGTTGTATTGGTAGTAGTAGGGGTAGGAAGAAAGGAGTTCTGGTAGCGTAGTGGTTACGAATCGGGCTGCGAACCTTAAATCAGCAGTTCGAAACTACCAGCCGCTCCGCAGGAGAAAGATGAGGCTTTCTACTCCCGTAAGGATTTACACCCTCGGAAACCCTGTACAGGGTCGCTATGGGTCGGAACCGACTCGATGGCACTTAACAACAACAACAACAACAGGGGTAGGAAGAAAGTCAGTATAGTAGTTCCCCATCAAAGTGACCCGTAGCTCCAAGTTAGGGTTAATAGAAGCTATTGGGAAGTAATTCCTTAAACAATATGAATGGTGCTGTGGGTTAATGCGCTAGACTGCAAAGCCGTTTGAACTGCGAGGCCAGCTCATTAGCCACTCCTCGGAAATCCCGTACAGGGTCATTGTGGAATGGAACTGACTCGATGGCACGTAACAACAACATTGGAAAGTAATTCCTTAAACTGTGTGTGTGTATGTATGTGTGTGTGTGTGTGTGTGAGTGTGTATATATATATATATATATAATATATATATATATAATATATAAGGAGCTCTGGTAGCGTAGTGGTTACGAATCGGGCTGCAAACCTTAAGGTCAGCGGTTCGAAACTACCAGCCGCTCCGCGGGAGAAAGATGAGGCTTTCTACTCCCGTAAAGATTTACACCCTCGGAAACCCTGTACAGGGTCGCTATGGGTCGGACCCGACTCGATGGCACTTAACAACAACAAAATATAATATATATATATATAATATATATATATATATATATTATATATATAGGAATGTGGGGTGGGGGTCGGTAGTTAGGGTTAGGACAACGGGTAGATATGGATAGGCAAGACCTAGAACTTTGATTACTATTAGGGTTATGGTTAGGACTAGGGTTAATGTTAGGGGCAAGGGCTTGACTACAGCTAGGAGTAAGGCTAGGAGTCCTGGTGGGGCGCTGTACGATAAGCACTGGACTGCAGGGTCATTTGAACTGCAAGGTCAGTGGTTCAGACTCAACAGCTGCCCTTGGAAACCCTACACAGGGTCACTATGAGTTAGAATCGACTCAAAGGCACTTAGCAATACAATGACAACAAGAGTAAGGCTTGGTCTAGTTTTAGGGCTACTGTTAGCTTTATTTTTTTAATTTCTCTTCTTGAAATCTCTTGATTTCCATTTCATTTACAAGTTCTAAAACTTTTTTTTTGTCATTGCAAACTGGTATCTTTGGTTCCATATTTTGAGTCTTGTGGCTTAGTTTACTTTGTTGTTTTAAATTCTGTTAAATCGGTTTCAACTCATAGTGACCTTACATAGGGTTTCTGGAGAGTGGCTGATGAGTTTGAATCGCTGGCCTTGCGGTTCAAACTGACCTTGTGGTCTAGTGCTTATCCTACAGTGCTGTACCAGGACTCCCTATTTTACTTTGGATGGTTCTGTATCTGGGCCTGGTATGGCACTGAGGGTTAGTGTGCTGGGCTGCAAGGTCGGTTTGAACTGCAAGGTTAGTGGGTTCAAGCTTATCAGCCACTCCTCGGACACCCTATACAGGGTCGCTATGAATCAGAACCCATGCGATGTCACTTAACAACAAAAACAACAATATCTGGATTGAATTCTGGGTGATACTGCCATATATGTTAGTCTCAGATTGTTGGCTCTTGTTAGTTCTTTGTCCAAAGAACTCCTTTTAGTATTTTTTGTAAGGTAAGTATGGATTTTGAAGTTTTAAAATTTCTGTTTATCTGTAAGTGTCCTAATTTCACCATCATATTTGATGGGATAGTTTTTCTGGGTATGTGATTCTTGATTGGTAATTTTTTTCTTTTAGAGTGTCTTCTTGCCTGCATGGTTTCTGCTGAGAAATCAGAATTTAGTTTTATTAGTTCGCATTTGTAGATAACTTCTTTTTTTTTTTTTTTTTAAATGTTTTATTGTGAATTATGTGATAGTTACATGGGAGAACATTAGTTTTACATTCATCCTATCGTATATATCGTTTCATTGCCATGGTTACAATCCCCTCCATGCATCATCACCCAACCAAAGGGTATATCCTACAAGCCTGCCCCTGCCCCCGGTTGTCATCACACAGCACTTATCCCTCTCTGTGTCTAAAGTCCCCAGCTGCTCCATCTCTCCACGTCATTGTCTCTGACTCCATCTCAGGCATCACTGCTACTCTGAGTAGGGTCCCGCTCTCCACTCTTCTCCCTTGATGGTCCCAGGGACCTCTGCTCCTAGACTGAAAAGTTAATCACTCCCCTCCTTGCTTAAAAACGTCTCCCTTTACATTTCCAACCCTCACAATCAGTCCTGATAACAGTTATTCACTATTTCCTTTAATCAGCCCCGCCTAGACAGATTGGATACTACTCAGTGGAGATTCTACCTTCCTCCACGCCTTCTGGATCTAGGTTCCCTCTTGAAAGCTTGTAAGCCAGTCACTTTTTGCCTTTGTAGCCCCCCCATTTTGGGTAGCCAGTGTCCAAGTTGCCCATCCCTGTCTACTCTGTGTATGGAGGGGGTGGGAATGATCCTTGCTGTAAAGATTTGTTACCTCTTTTGAGCTACTGCATGCATAGGTGTAGGTCAAGTTCATCCAGTTGTATCAGATTACTCTTTTTTTCCTCTTCTTTTTTCTTCTAGTTGAGCTCTGATCATCCAGTCACTGAAGCCAGGTCAAGTGGGTATTATCTGCAAGTGTGGGTGTTCTTGTGCATATGCCTTCTCTTCCTATCAGCTGGATGCTTCATGCTTCACTGTAGTCCTCTGTGGCTATGTCACTAGGTCTTGCCACACTGCAGGCCAACAGGTTTCCACTTGAGTTCACAGAAGTTGTAGGGCTTAGCTTGCCGCTTCATTGCTGTTTTTCCCTCACTTCACCTTATCAGTGATGAACGTGGTCACCAATCAGAGCGTGTATTCCCATTGAGTCTTAGTCTTGGAAGGAGGTTTGTTCTGAGGGGTGTAGATAACTTCTTGTTTTTCCTGAACTGTTCTCAGAATTCTTTCCTTTCTTTGATTTTGAAAAGTTTGATTATATATGATTTTTGGGGAGTCTCTCCTGGTTGGGGAGTACTGCTCTGACACTGTAGGATAAATATTGGACTGTA